TATACACACAGACATACACGCACACCGTATACACACACAGACACACGCACACCGTATACACACACGCACACCGTATACACACAGACATACATGCACACCGTATACACACACAGACATACATGCACACCGTATACACACAGACACACATGCACACACACACACGTGTCTGGAAAGATACTGCCAACTATAATCTAGGGTTACCCCTGGGGAACAGGATTTGGGGGAGGGAGGAAGGAAAGGAGACATTTCCTGTTTACTTTGTACAAGTGTGTTCTGCTTGATTTTGTACAACAGAACGTGCGTTTTAACAACAATAACAAGATGAAACAAGCGAAAGCCACTCGCCTTCTCTCACCAGAAGATGGCCCCTTCCTGGCTCCCAGCTGGCCCTACCGTCTCAGATTGAACACAGAGGGGGAGCAGTGGTCAGGGCCCCACTAGGATCTGGCACCTCGAGTTCTGGGGGTGCAGCTGTGAAGCTGGCGACCCACTGGCCAGTCGGCCAGAACCTGTCTCGATTTCTGGCCAAGTGATCAAGGCAAGGTGTGACTGACATCACAGGGTGACCATGAGGATTAAATGGCCCAAGTGGGTGGGACAGAGGGAGAAAGGAGGATTCGATGCTTAGGGGACACCGGGTTTGACGGGCAAACCTGGGGATGGATAAGGGTGACGCTTAATGTCACTGAACTGCACATGTGAAGACAGCTGAAGTAGCAAATGTTCTGTTACATATATATTTACCACACACGAAAAAACTGACACAACCCCCAACAGGAATGATGTCTGAAAACTGGGGAGGTTCTGGTCCTGCAGCCTTTTGGAAGCAGCCTCAGCATATCGCCACATAAATGGGAAAATACTCATCGGTTTTGTTAATTTCTTTGTCATTGGAGTTCTCTGAATATTTATTGCTTTTATAATTAGGGGAAAAAAAGTACAAATTATTAAAAGTCTGTAAGAACTAGGCTTGCCTGTAAGGGGTCCTCAGCCCTGTTCCTAAAACTATCCTTCAAAGGGACTCTGTGATATTGAATATAATGTATGTGCTTTATTAAGAGTCCGGAGGGACTCTGGGATATTAAATATAATGTATGTGCTTTATTAAGAGTCCAGAAATGACTCTTACAAATCTAACTGGGGATTTCCTGTGCAGCCTGGGCTGAGGATAAGGGATGACATTGTGGTTTAAGTACCTCCCTCACCCCCAGCACACACATAAGGTCTTTCAATGTTAAGAAAGAGAGAACTTAGGATGTTGTCTGTTTAAGGCACAAGGGAATTCCTAGAGCATGAGCAGATACTCTGTTTAAAAATGATCAGTGGTCCTTTCTAAGACAGGCAATTGTGGCCAGCACATGACTCCCTGTCACAAGCTGTCACACGCAACTTGTCTGACTGATGGTGATTAGCTGACCCTCGGCCTCGTCCCTTCCCAGACCCACACCCCTCTCCTGGCCCCTGCTCCACCCTCCAGTCACTCAGGGGTAGAAGAGGCTGTAGGCTTTGTACATCAGTGAGTTTTCTTTTTTTTTTCTTTAAAGCAGAAAGCTGAACAGTCCCATCAAAATCATCCCACATCAGAATGTAAAATGGTACAATCACTTTGGAAATTGATTTGAAGCTTCTTTAAAAAGCTAGAAATAGAAGTACCATACGATCCAGCTATCCTGCTCCCTGGAATATATCCTAGAGAAACAAGAGCTGTCACAAGAATAGATATATGCACACCTGTGTTCATTGCAGCACGGTTCACAATAGCAAAAAGATGGAAACAACCTAGATGCCCATCAACAGACGAATGGATAAACAAATTATGGTATATCCACACAATGGAATACCATGCAACGATAAAGAACAACAATGAAGCCGTGAAACATAACACGGAGGAAGCTGGAGGTCATCATGCTGAGTGAATTTAGTCAGGCACAGAAGGACAAATATTATATGAGACCACTCTTACAAGAACTCAAGAAAATGTTTAAACACAGAAGAAAACATTCTTTGATGGTTATGAGGGTGGGGAGGGAGGGTGAGGGTTATTTACTAACTAGATAGTAGATAAGAATTATCTTAGGTGAGGGGAAGGACAGCACACACTACAGGGGAAGTCAGCACAACTGGACTAAACCAAAGCTAAGAAGTTTCCTGAATATAATCAAACACTTTGAGGGACAGAGTAGCAGCAGCAGGAGTCTGGGGACCCTGCTTTCAGGGGACATCTAGGTCAACTGGCATAACAAAGCTTATTAAGAAAATGTTCTGCATCCTACTTTGGTGAGTGGTATCTGGGGTTTTAAAAGCTTGCTAGCAGCCATCTAAGATGCATCAATTGGTCTCAACCACCTGGAGTAAAGGAAAATGAAGAACACCAAAGACACAAGGAAAGTAGTAGCCCATGAGACAGAAAGGCTATATAAACCAGAGACTTCATCAGCCTGAGACCAGAAGAATAGATGGTGCCCAGCTACCACCAATGACCACCCTGACAACACAACAGAAAGTCCCGTATGGAGCAGGAGAAAGGTGGGGAGCAGAACTCAAATTCTAGTAAGAAGACCAGACTTAATGGTCTGAGACTTGAGGTACCCCTGAAAGCATGGCCCCTGGATTCTCTATCAGCCCAGAACTAAAACAATTCCCGAGGCCAACTCTTCAGACAAAGACTGGACTGGACTGTGGGACATAAAGTGATACTCGTGAGGAGTGTGCCTCTTAGCTCAAGTAGATACAAGAGACTAAATGGGCAGCTTCTGTCCGGAAGTGAGATGGGAAGGCAGAGAGGGTTAGGAGCTGGTTGAATGGACATGGGGAATTGGGTGGAAAGGAGGAGTGTGCTGTCACAGTAGGGGGAGAGAAATTAGGGTCACGTAACAATGTATGTATAAATTTTTGTATGGGAAAAAAAAAAATCATCCCACATCAAAACCACCACCTCAAAGTGGCTACAGAAAAAAGTCTCTGTTGTCAAAAAGGCTTTCTCAAGCTACCACTTCAAAATGTCACATGCCCAGAAGATTACCAGAGATTTCAAAGCAAGGAACACCTTCTATCTTAAGCTGGCTGCACACAGATAACTCACTTTCTGTGAAGAATTTCAAAACACCCGAGCCTTGCCTTCCTGAACATACTCAGCAGAAAAGTAAAGAACTAGAATAATTATTCCTGCTACAGAGATTCTAAAAGGTTTTTAAAAGATTTAATTTCAAGGCTATCCAGTGAGTACAGAACCTGGAAACCAAATCCCTGAGTCCCAACTTAGAAAACTGCCCTCATTACATACAATGCCACTTTTGTCTAGTTAGAGGCCTTTAGCCCCTATGCCCACTGATTAAATTTAGTCTTTACGCTCCCCCAAAACTATCCAGGCTCTTCCTGAGAAATCTGGTAGAAAACCAGCACAGTCCTTCCAGAATTCAATGTGGAGCATCCACAGCACCCTTTCCCTCGATCTCCCAGTTAGAAACTCCCAGGCCAGCCTGCCCTGGCCAGCGTGCAAGTAGGTTCTCTTTGCCCATCTCGGATGGCTAGTCAGCCTGGGGATCCAAACACATTCACGCACAGACCTTCACAGTAAACAAAAGGCACCAGCTGGGAGGGTGGGGAAATCCTAATCCAGGCCAGGGGTTGGCAAACTACAGTCCATGGGCCAGATCCTGCCTACTGCCTGCTTTTATCAATAAAGCTTTATCGGAACACAGCCTCACTTATTTGTTTTTGTATTGTCCACGGCTGCTTTTAAGCTACATCAACAGAGCTGAGTCACCGTGACAGAAACTGTATGGCTCTCAAAGCCTAAAATATTTACTATCTACTTACAAAGTGTACAGAAAGTCTGCTGACCCCTGTTCCAGTCAAGAGATGCTTATCAGGAAAACTTGAGAAAAAGGCAAAAAGCCAGCCATACATGGCACTCTGGGATGGATGGGATGGATGCATGGATGGATGGACGCAGGACAGGGTACCCTGATGATGGATTTAATTACAGTTCCTTGGCATCTCTGAGACTCTGGTACAGGTGAATCCAGCCCTCCCTCCAGCCAGTGGCTCACTTAAACCAGGGCCAGCAGAGCCCTTGCCCAGAACACAGTCCTGACAGAAGCCACCTTCACCTACGCAGACAGGGAGAATGTGAGATGCCTCAGGGGCTATATTCTCCCCTTTAACGGCAGTTTTCATTCAGATTGTGGTTTGTGAAGTTGTTTTTCCTAGACCTGGCTCTAGAAACTTGGGCAGACAACTGGGGCAGAGCAGGCCATGTTTTATCATCTCTATGTCCTCAAAGGCCCAGGACAGATCCTGACACACAGTGATCAAATATTCCTCGAATCAATGAATGAATACGGGTTTAAGAAAAGGAGGCAGCTTTAGAATCAGAAGTGGTACGCAAAACACTGCCAATGTTCTGTCCAAAATCAAGAGTGGGTGGACACTTTAGCCCTTCACCTTTAGATGTGCGTTCTGGGACTCTGCCCTGAGCAGGGGGCCCTTGTCCCCTCACCTCTGTGTCTGTTCCCCCCACCTGTGCTCGGGTGTGAGAGCCACTTCAGCTTCATCAAGATCTGGAGAGTCGAGGTCGGGACAGTCCTGTAGATTCAGTTCCTCCTGCTCCGGCTCCAGGACCTGTTCTCTGTGGGGCAAATGAGAGCCGAAGCCAGGAATCAAGGCTGCCCCTGGCTGCCCACCCCTGTCACCAGGCTGCAGGGGGCCCAATGGACAGGACAAGGTCTGGGAATAGGGGGGAAAGAGGGCTCTGGTCTCCCCTCACAAAGGCTCTCAGACTCAGGTTTTTAGAGGAGGAGGTGGTTGTGTTGTACTGTCTCCAAATGAGCAAAGACGGACAGACAGGCCTGAAAGAAAACCGTTTTCTTCACACAACTTCAGCCGTGTTTTTACGTGTACACCTGGTTTTTGGCACCGTCTCATCTTCTGACACGCCAAGGCCTGTGCCTGGCCCTTCTGCTCCTCCCAGGCTGTGTCGCGCTGACCAGAAAAGGCCCCGGAGACCTCAACTCCTTGGAGCCCCTAGCGCACCTCCTAAGTCTCTGGCCACAAGCAACCCCACAGCTCATGCTCATCCTCTTACTCTCCCTACCCTCTGCCCCTGTTACCAGTGAAGGTTTAAAACCCACTTCTGTCAAGTCCATTCTGACTCATAGTGACCCTAGAGGACGGAGCCGAACTGCCCCATAGGGTTTCCAAGGCTGTAAATCTTTACGGAAGCAGACTGCCACATCTTTCTCCTGTGGAGCCGCTAGTGGGTTCAAACTGCCAACCTTTCGGTTAACAGCCAAGCACTTAATCACTGTGCCACCAGGGCTCCTTAGTAGAGGCCTCCATTTGCCCCCATTAGTTCCCTGAACACCTCACTTCCCTTTTCAATGGGGCGTGCACCACAGCCCGGAGCTCCAACTATGATCTTGCCAGAGCCCAGACTCCACTGCCCCCAGCACTCGGCAAATCCCTAGCTGGCATCAGCCCATCCTTTGACCTCATCCGTCCATGTGCCCTCAGGCTGCTGGGGTTCCCTCAGGCTCTCCAGCCCTTGTCTGCATCCCTCCATGGGCTGGCCCAGTCTGTGCCCACATGTCCTCAGTTCTTAAATATTTCATCTCTAGTCCAGGCCTCTGCCTTGAGTTCACTGACTAGATGATGTCCCCTTGAACGTGACGGGGACCCTCAGATGGCGCATGTCCAAGTCTGAATTTCTCTTCCCCACAGAGGCTTCACCATCCCAGCCACGTAAGCGAGGCTCTCAGGTGCCCTCCCCTGGGTCCCAGCTCAGCCTGGGCTCCACCTCTTTGTTTCCCTTTCGCACAGCTCCAAAGGCCTTGGCACCGTTTCACCTCTCTTCCTCTCCTCCTTTCACCCCGTCTCCCTACCCAGTGGGATCAATCTTTTTTAAACACATCTGAAAGCACATCACTACCTGTTGAAAATTCTCCCCAAAACTGGCATGAACTGGGCAGAAAGGAGGCAACATGGAGTGAGGAGCCGGAACCAGGGCTTAGTGTATGGTAGGGGGCTGGGCACTCTGTCTTTGATATTTCACCCTTTGATACAGGACGCTCCCAGAAGGCACGCTGGGTCGCTGGGTCGGGGGTGGGCAGGCTGCTTTATTTCTGATAGCAATTTGCTAGGAGTCTTAGAGGACGCCCCCAGAAATGACTGCAAACCCCACGAAGACCCTTTTGCATACTCACCTCTTCTCCTGCAGTAAGTAATCTAAGCTGTTGATGTATCTTCCTGAGCCCCCAGAGGTGAACTGGAGAAAACGGGACACGGGAATACGGAAGAAAGGCAAAGACAGAGGGCCAACAAAAGAATAAAATTTATTCTCAGCTAAGCCCTCGGTTTATTTTATTTTTCTGAAGAGCCAATACATTTACACAACCATAAAATCAAAAAGCAGCAAGGCATACAGTAACACGTCTCCCTCCAGCCTCCACGCCCAGCCACTCAGCTCCCGTCCACGGACACGGTATTCACGCTCGGCACGCACACAGAGATACGCAAACAATAAACAGATGATACTTCCCCCGTCTGACAGACGGTCACCTACCATCTACCCTGCCCTGCACTGTGCTCTTTTCAATTAACAAAAGGTCTGGAGGATCGTCCCATATGAATTCCAAAGTGATTCACTGCCTTTTTTTACATGTTTTCACGGCATTCGAATGTATGATTAGAACATAAAATTTTTATCAGTTCCCTAGCGGTGGATACTTAGGTTATTACCAATCTTGGGCTATTACAAACAACTGAAGCCCTATATTGAGAATACATTTTCTGGATCTAAACAAAAAAAAAATCAAACCTGTTGCCATCGAGTCAATTCCAACTCATGGCGACCCTACAGGACAGAGTAGAACGGCCTCATATGGTTTCCAAGGAGCGGCTGGTGGATCTGAACAGCCAGCCTTTTGGTTAGCAGCCGTAGCTCCTAACTGCTGCACCACAGGGCTCCATTTTCTGGATTTATGGGGCTTCGAATGTCCCCACCAGTCTACCTAGCAACGGGAGTTTGTTCCCAACTTGAAGCTCTTCACTGCAGCTTCCACTGAGGAACCCCGATGCACTGGACCAGAACCAGCCTCAGTCTCTGCCTAACCAAGCCCAGACCTCAGCACTAAGGTCTCTCCTTGCTCCAGGGCCACAATCCCAACCTTATCCCTCCCTGAAAGTCTTGAAGGGCTCCATACAGAAGTGCCATCAGATTTGGTGACACCCCCCCAAGCCATTCCTCAGCAGGAGTTAGGAGCAGAAATAAAGGGAGGGGTGCAGCCCAGCCCTGGGGTCCAGGATTCCAGTCATGAAGGCCTAAGGGCTAAGAGTGGTTAAGGGTAGGATGGCCAAGGAGAGGTGGCTGAAGAAGGGAAGCTGGGGCATGGCCAAGGAAAGGTGGCCAAAAAGGGGTGGCCTGGGCAGGGGGGGTGACTGCGAAGGGAGGTCAAGGGGTGGCCACTGGCTTACCGAGGTGTGGGTGTCCCCCACTGAGGACGCAGCCGCAACGTGCTGACTTGGGCGTGCCATGTTCCAGAACAGCTCCTTCAGTGAAGCCAGAGCCTCTTCAGGGTCCGAATCCAGGGGCTTCTGCTTCCACTCCTCGGGCTGCTGGTGGGCCAGGTTCCTCAGGCCCTGGGGCCCTGTCCCACCCACCTGTGCTTCAGTCGGGGCCCCCTGGCTGGCCGGTGGTGACCTCGGGTTCAGGAACTCCACAGGTGGTGGGCTCCAGTCGATGGGGAACATGTCCCCGGAGGCCTGCATCTTAGGCTTCTTTGGCGAGTTGTGAGTCGGAGCTGCCGGGGGGCTGCAGAGGTATCGGCCAGAGCGGAGAAGCCTACGATGCAGAGGATGGTCGAAGATGCCGTGCTTCAGGGTGGGCAAAAGGATGGGCGTGGTGGCAGCTGCCTGGACCCCTGCAGACAGGAAGAGTCACACGGTCATCTGCCACCCACCCGGCCACCATGTCACACTGGGCAAGGAGAGGTGCTCGCTTGGGATCGTCATAGGCAGGATGCAAGGGGACTCCCTCACTGTGGTTTTTCAATTCTCTGGGGCCTCAAACCTCAGAAGGGCTCCACCTGTGCAGGTGAGGGATGCCTACCTTCTTCCTGAGGAAGAGGTGGCATGGTCTTCTGCGGCCTGGCCATCTGCAAATCGTTGGAAGTTTTGTCCTGGAAAGAACCACCTGTCAGGTGAAGTGAACCTTTAAAGAAAGCTACATGATCTGAACCCCTGCTTTCCCAGAGAAGAGGACTTGGGCCCATTTGTCCCCAGAGAGGAATACCTTCTTTAGATCCACCCCCAAGGACCAAGCATTATGGCACCACAAAGGTCAAGTGGCTGAGGCAGAAGGGCGACTCAATATGACTTTTCATTTCAAGGAAGAGACAGGCAAGTGTAATTGCACAAACTTTTGTTTTAAAGCTTGTATTAAACTGAAACCAGCAGAGCTCAGCTGAAAAAGGGAGCAACGCTGCATTCTGAGATGATGTCCTACACGCCTCGCTTGCTCCGTGTCACCCCCGTAAGGCTGTTTGCTCACAAAGGGCAGGGCATGGCTGTCTGGTCCCTGATGTTGCCCCAGCACCAGCACAGACTGAGCACATAGTAAGGACTCGGTACATTTCTGCTGAACAAACGGGTGACTAAGAAAACGCGGAGGCTGATCTAACAGGTCTTCTCCAGCGTAAACCCACTGCTCTCGAGTTAATTCAATGCTTCGTAACCCCATAGGACAGAGTAGAACCGCCCCCTAGCGTTTCCCAGGAGAGGCTGGTGGATTTGAACTGCCGATTTTTTGGTTAGCAGCTGAGCTCTTTACCCACTGAGCCACCAATCCCCAGCTAAGATGAACCATGCCACATATACAGACATGTCTCATCCAATTAGGCTCAAGCTTAGATAAGCCAAAAATCAGACAGAAGGCTAACATCTGAAATGGCTAGAGTCTAACGGTCAAAGAAAACAAGAGTTTATAAAAAACCAACACTAATTCAACCAGGGTTCAAACTCAGCCAATAGTCAAAGAAGTTCTAATCAATATAAATATGAAGTACTATTCAATGATAAGTAGCCTGGGTGGTACAGCGGTTTGCGACTGGCTGCTAACCCAAAGATTGGCAGTTCAAACCCACCCAGGGGAAGACAGGCCTGGTAAACTGTTTCTGTAAAGATTACAGCCAAGAAAACCCTACTGAACAGTTCTACTCTGTAACACATGAGGTCGCCATAAGTCGGGGGCCGACTCGAGAGCAGCTAATAACGACAACAACATCCAATGATAATAAAATAACCCAAAAATTAAAACTTTATGGCAATCAATGTTGACATGGCTGTGAGAAAATGCTGTTAGCGTTATAAAATGGTTTATTATTTTTAGAGTGCAACCAAGCAATATAAAAATAACTGCAGGAATGTCCATACACGAGAATGACGTGGCCAAAAATGGCAGAGTTGCTGTCACACCCCACTGGACCAGCAGGATGAGTGGCTCTGAGGGGCACAGATCGGACTCTGAAAAAAAAAAAAAAAAGGCAGTAAAAGCCATGTTGATGAGCAAGGCTTTGTTGGGAACTTACAGAGGTCGATGCCAAGATTCTCATGACGGACAGGGAAGTGTCAAATGTCACCTGGGTAGAGGTCTGCGTGGGGCAATGTAGGGTGGGGGTTTATATACCTAGTGTTTACACACAGGGAGATCAAGAAAAAACATATCTAATCTATGATGGATGGGGTTGTTTTTGTAGCAGTTAATGAGTTCCAACTGACTTTACCATGAAGTCAGGTATTTGGTGTATTTCTTCCTGGACCAGGTCACTGGCTCAGTGAGGCACTCTGGTTCTCTCCCAGAGCCCTCTGTGGGCAGGATCCACCTTGTGGTGTTCATGGCCCTCATAGTAGGGAATATAAAAACCCATTCCTCGGTTGAAGCAATGATGATACCGGCAAAAATGGTCAGAATCAACTTTTACGGAACTGTAGAACCTAATAAAAAACTAACAACAATCAGGGAAGAAATTAATGAAGAAAGAAGTTTTTAAATTGAGGTAAGATGCCTCACTGTGGCATTCTAACTTACCCACCTATCATCCCACTCCCCAGTTTGGAAGCGGCTGTGGGCAGGGTAGCCCATCTCCTCCCTGGTGTGGCTTGCTGATGCCAGAGGTGGCAATATGGAATCCTGTTCTCAAAGAATTATGGAGCGTGTTTTGACCTGTTCTCTGGTCAAAACTGAAAGATCAGCTTAGGGGCTCACTTTTGTTTCATTCCCCTCAGAAATTTTTCAGGTCTGAACTGGCCTCCCAGGTCGTGTTTGTTGGAAGCATTTAAAGGAAAATACACTAGTTACAGCTACCTGGGGCAAGGGATAACAGAGCAAGCAGCACACAGACCAAAAAGCCTGGAAAGGAAGAGACTGGGCAGACTATACATGGGCGCACAAGGAGTCTCATGGCGGCCTAGGGCTAGATGCATGCCCAGAAACGACCTGAGAAGACCCTCAGCTTTCACCTCTGACTAATCTTTAAGCTCCGTGCAAGCAGGAAGTAAAGGCTAAGGCAGAGTTGCAAACAGCCTGGTTGAGCACTGAAGGAGTGCCTAAGCACAGAGTCTATCTGTAAAGACTAAGAGAGTTTTTTTCTTTCCTTTCCTTCTCCTCCTCTCTTTTTGGTTCCAGACGTCTGAGGAAATCTCTATCAGGTCACTGGATGACTCTGCTAAGATAACGTAACAGAGATTTCAGAGACCACACACAACGAGAAACACAGTCTTTGCAAAAATAGCTGGGAGTCACTTAAGAAAATGGACAATTTGCAGCCCACAACAAATAAGAACAGCAAACCCCGAGGAGCGGGGAGAATCTGATTTCCAGAGTTACCCATTACAATATTCAACAAAAAATTTTCAATAATAAATTATGACATGCAAAAAACCAAAAAGTATGGCCCACTCACAGGAAAAAATTAAGACTGGCAGAAACCATTCCTGAGGTGCCCAGACATTGGACTTTGTATACAAAGACTTTAAATCAACTGTCTTAAATATACTAAAAGAACTAAAGAAAATCAGGAAAACGATATCTCAATGAATAGAGAATATCAATAAAAATATATAAATTATAAAAAGAAACCAAGCAGAAACAACCAAAATGAAAACTTTACTTGAGAGGTTCAACAACAGATCTGAGCAGGCAGAATAAAGACTAAGCAAACCTGAAGATAGGTTAATTGAGATTATACAGTCTCAGGATCAAAAAAAAAAAAGAAAAATGAACAGTGCCCAAGAGACTTGTGGGTCATCACCAAGCACAACCAACAAACGTATAATGGGGAAGGGGGACGAAAGAGGGGGAAGGAAGAGAGAAAAGGGTAGAAATTTGAAGGGGCAGTATTTGAAGAAATAATAGCCAAAAACTTCTGAAATTTGATGAAATACATGAATCTACACATCCAAGAAGCTCAATGAACTCCAAGTAAGATAAACTCAGAGAGCCACACTGAGACACATTATAATCAAACTGTTGAAAGACAAAGAGAAAATCTTGAGAGCAGCAAAAGAGAAGCAACTTGTCACATATAAGGGAGTCTCAGTAAGATTAGCTGCCAATTTCTTATCAGAAACCATGGAGTTAAAACCTATGGGATGACATAAGTGCCGGAAAAAAAAATTTATCAACCAAGAATTCTATATTCAGCAAAACTATCTTTCAAAAATGAAGGAGGAAAAAAAAATCAAGGAGAAATTAAGATATTCCCAATAAACAAAAGCTGGAGCAACTCATTGCTAGTAGACCTGCCCTATGAGAAATGCTAACAGGAGCCCTTTACACTGCATTGAAAGGATGTTAGTCAGTAACCAAAGCCATATGAAGAAATAAAGAAAACCTGTAAAGGTAACAAAATAGGTAAATGTAAAAGCCAGTATACTGTATTTTTGGTTTGTACCTCCTCTTTTTTTTCCTATATAACAGACAAATACATAAGACAATAATTATAAATCTATCTTAGTTATGTTATAAAGATGCAATTTGTGACAAAAACAACACAAAGGCTCAGGGATGGAGTTTTATAGGAGCAGAGTTCTTGTATGCTATTGAAGCCAAGTTGGTATTACTTCAAACTACTTTGTTATAAATTTAAGATGTCAGTGGTAATCCCCAGAGTAACCACTAAGAAAATAACTAAAAAATGTCAGAAAAGGAAATAAGGGAACTAAAATGGTACACTACAAAAAAATCAAACACAAAAGAAGGCAGTAATAGAGGAATAAGGAACAAAAAAGATCTAGAACATAGAGAAAATAGCAAAATGGCAAAACTCCTTTATAAGTAATTGCTTTAAACGTAAATAGATGAAATCTTCAATCAAAAGGCGGTGACTGGCAGAACTGATTTTTTAAAATGATCCAATTATATGTTGTTTATAACAGACTTACTGTAGATACAAAGACACAAATGAGTTGAAGTAAAAGGATGGAAAAAGTTATTCCATGAAAATACTAGCCAAAAGACAGCTGAAGTGGCTATGCAGGTAAAATAAATTTTAAGTAAAAAATTTTTACAAGACTAAAAAGGATATTATGTATTGATATAAGGGCCAATCCATCAAGAAGTTATAACAATTACAAACATATACACACTTAACAACAGAGCCCCAAAATATATAAAGCAAAAATGGACAGACTTGAAGGGAGAAATTGGAGAATTCTACAGCAATAGTTAATTTCGATACACCACTTTTAATAATGGATAGAACAATCAGACAGAAAAATCAACAAGGAAATAGAGGACTTATATAACACTATAAACCAACTAGATCTAAGAGACAGATACAGAACACTCCACCCAACAGCATAATACACATTCTTCTCAAGTGCACATGGAGTACTCTCCAGGATAGATGATATATTAGATCACAAAACAAGTTGAATGACTTTAAAAAGATTGAAATCATATAAGGTATTATCTCTGACCACAATGGAATGAAACAAAAAATCAGTAAAATTAAACAACACACTCTTAACCAGTGGGTCAAAGAAGAAATCCCAAGGGAAATAAGAAAATACTTGGAGATGAATGAAAACAAAAACACAAGATAGCAAGGTAGAAACAACCTAAATGCCCATTAATGCATGAATGGATAAATAAAACAGGGTGCATAAATACAATGGAATACCACTCAGCCAGTAAGAGAAATGAAGTCTTGATACATACTGCAACAGGGAGGGAGCTTGAAGGAATTTTGCTGAGTGAAATAAGTCAATCCCCAAAGAACAAATATTGTATGACCTCACTTACATAAAAAGACAAGAATAGGCAAACGTACAGAGACCAAAGTTTATTAGTGGTTACCAGGGGTGAGAAGGAAGGGGGAAAGGTGGGGTTAGGTTTACAGTGACAGAAAAGCTACACGGATTAAGGGTAAGGCTGCACAGTTGATTAACATAATTGCTGTCAATAAGTTGTTGTTAGGTACCATCGAGTTGGTTCCAACTCATAGTGAACCTGTGTACAACAGAACAAACCGCTGCCCGGTCCTGCGCCATCCTCACAATAGTTGCTATATTTGATCCCATTGTTGCAGCCACTGTGTCAATCCATCTCACTGAGGGTCTTCCTCTTTTTCATTGACCTTCTGCTTTACCAAGCATGATGTCCTTCTCCAGGGGCTGATCCCTTCTGATAACACTTCCAAAGTGCATGAGATGAAATCTCGCCATCCTTGCTTCCAAGGAGCATTCTGGCTATACTTCTTCCAAGACAGATTTGTTCATTCTTCCGGCAGTCTGTGGTATATTCAATATTCTCTGCCAACGCCATAATTCAAATGCATCAATTCTTCTTCGTTCTTCCTTATTCATTGTCCAGCTTTAGCTTGCATATGAGCGAGTGAAAATACCATGGCTTGCCTCAGGTGTGCCTTCGTTCTCAAGGGTACATCTTTGCATTTTAACACTTTAAAGGAGTCTTTTGCAGCAGGTCTGCCCAACGCAGCACGTCATCTGATTTCCTGACTGCTGCCTCCATGGGCACTGATTGTGGATCCAAGTAAAATTAAACCCTTGACAAAGTCAACGTTTTCTCCATTTATCATGATGTTGTTTATTGGTCCAGTTGTGAGGATTTTTGTTTTATGTTGAGATGTAATCCATACCGAAGGCTGTACTCTTTGATCTTCATCAGTAAGTGCTTCAATAAGCTGCACACCTCTAAAAAGCTGAACTGGCAAAAGTTTGTGTGATAGACATATTTACAATAATGACCAAAAAAGTAGCTGCTGAGGCTGCTTATGTATAACCAAACACCTCATGAGACTTGGTTCCTTTGCGTGGAGGTTTAGGGTCATAGTTTCATAGGATATCCCAGTTAATTGACCTTATAACATGTTTAGTGCTTCTATTCTACCTGCTAGTTCGCTGCATAGTGCCTGTGGTCTTAAAAGCTTGCATTCAAAGTACAACAAAAGCGGACATTCAAAGTACAACAATCGGTCTCTATTCACCTGCAGCAAAAGAGGAAGAAGGAGAGTCAGGAATAGGAGGAGTAAACAGAATGTGTGGCTGTCTCCATGAACAACTGCCTCCTTTACCATAAGACCAGAAGAACCGGATGGTGCGAGGCTACCATTACTGCACATTTGGACCGAAGATTCTATAGAAGAATCTTGATCAAAAGGGGTAAAAATGCAAAACTGAACTTCAAATTTTCATGGAAGCTAGATGAACCATAGAGGCTAGATGAACCCCGGAAACTATTGCCCTGCGATAATCTTCAAACCTTAAACCAAAAATATCCCCTGAAGTCTTCTTAAAACCAAACAGCAGTTTAGCTTAACTAGTAAAGAACATCTGCCTTGAGCATTGTGCTCTTTTAAAATGTATCTGTATGGGATCAAATTGACAGCAGCAACTGGAAAAGACTAGACAGCAACCTTAGGGGCAGTGAGTTTATGTTAATGGGGGAGGAACAACTCAGAAAAGGAGGGTGAGAATTGTTGTACAACTCAAAGAATGTAATCAGTGTCACTGAATTATACATGTAGAAATCGCTGAACTGGTGTATGTTCTGCTGTATATATTCTCAATAACCACAAAAATAAAATAATTTTTAAAAAAAACATTGAAAAAAGACAAATAACCAAATTAAAAAATGGGCAAAGGATTTGAACAGACATTTCTCCAAAGAAGACATACAAATGGCCAAGGAACACGTGAAAGGAAGCTCTACATCATCAGTCACCAGGGAAATGCAAATCTGAACCACAATGATATACCACTTTACACCTGTCAGGGATTGAATTCGTCCCCCAAAAAACGTGTGTAGCAACTTGGCCAGGTCATGATTCCCAGTATTGTATGATTGTGTTATCTGATGTGATTTCCTTATGTGTTGTAAACTCTACCACTACGATGAGATTATATGTGATCTCCTCATGTGTGGTAAATTCTATCACTGTGATGAGGTTATACTGATGAGGTTGACAAGATTAGTGTCTTAATGCAATCTCTTTTGAGATATGAAAGAGAGAAGCGAGCAGAGACACATGGGAACCTCACACCACCAAGAAAGTAGTGCTGGGAGCAGAGCGCATCCTTTGGACCTGCGGTTCCTGCGCTGAGATGCTCCCAGACCAAGGAAAAGACTGAGGCATCACGAGGACCTTTCTCCAGAGCCGAAAGAGAGAGAGAGCCTTATCCTGGAGCTGATGCCCTGAATTTGGACTTGTAGCCTACTGGACTGTGAAGACAATAAATTTCTCTCTGTTAAAACCATCCACTTGTGGTACTTCTGTTAGAGAAGCACTAGATGACTGAGACAACACCCATCAGGAAGGCATTGATAATAAAATGGAAAATAACAAGTACTGGCAAGAATCTGCAGAAATTGCAACTCTGATACATTGTTGGTGGGAACACAAAATGGTGCAGCCCCTGTGAAAAACAGTTTGCTGGTTCCTCAGTAAGTTAAACATAGCATTACCATTGCTGCTGCTGCTGCTGTCAGGTGCTCTCGAGTTGATTCCGACTCACAGCGACCCCATGTACAACAGAACAAAAACATCCTCACAATTGCTGCTGTGCTTGAGCCCGTTGTTGCAGCCACTGTGTCAATTACCATATGATCCAGTAATTCCACTCCCAGGTATATAGGAGAATTGAAAACAGGTATTCAAGCAAAACCCTGTACATTACATGTTCACAGCAGTACTGTTCACAATAGCCGAAAGGCAGAAACAACACAAATGTCCATCAACGAACAGAAACATAACCAAGATGTGGTATATACCCACACAACGGAATATTACTGAATCGTAAGAAGAAATGAAATACCGATATGTGCTACAATATGGGTAAAGCTGGCAAACAACACTGCGTGAAAGAGGCCAGACACAAAAGGGTGCATATTGTATGATTCCGTTTACGTGAAATACACAGAACAGGCAAAGCCACGGAGGCAGAAAGCAGATTAGTGGTTGCCAGGCACTGGGGAGACGAGTAATGAGGAACGACTGCTTAATGGGTATGAGGTTTCCTTTTGGGGTGATGACAATGTTTTAGAACTAGGTAGAGATGGCAGCTGCACAATAGTGTCAACATACTATACGCCACTGAATTGTATACTTTAAAACAGTTGAAAGGGTTACATTTTACGTTATGCGAATTATAACTCAATTAAAAAAAAAATGAAGGAAATAAAAAAAAAATTGTGGGATGAGGATGCACTGGGAAATACCTCTGGTTTCCCGCTGGGTGAAAATACAGATCTTAGAACTACGCTTAGCTGGAATCACAATGAAGCAAAAGTCACTGCACATTGGCAAAACTGGAAAAGAATGACAGAATTTGACATAAGTTGGTTTGCTGGGGGTGACTTTCGTTTGCTTCAATGTTTATGTAAGAAATAAAATGATTTTTTTAAGAAGAAAGCAAGCACTGATACAAGCTATGACATGGATGGACCTTGAAAACATAAGCCAAGTGAAAGAAGTCCGGCACGAGAGACCACATAGTGTCTGCCTCCGTCACCGAACGCTGCTACAACAGAAGCACCACAAGCGGATGGCTTTAACAAACAAAGTTATTCTCTCACAGTTTAGGAGGCTAGAAGTCCAAATTCAGGGCGTCGGCTCTAAGGGAAGGCTTTCTGTCTGCATCTGCCCTGGAATAAGGTCCTCGTCTCTTCTGAGCTTCTGCACTGGGTGATCTTCATGTGGCTTGGCATCTCTCTTACTCACTTAGCTTGTTTAATCTCTTTTATAGCTCAAAAGGGATGGACTCAAGATGCACCCTTCACTAATCCTGCCTCATTAACATAAGAAAGACAACCCATTTCCAAATGGAATTATAACTGACCAATCCCCTTGTCAGGGTTCCACACACCTTGTTTGCATGATACCACCTCAGCAAGATTTGCACGCACCTTATTTGCATTTTTAGCAAGCTGTCCAATCCCCTTGGTGGACCACAAGCACCTTATTTGCATAGCCCCACCCAGTCATTTTGTGGGAGCTGTAAGACCATGCATGGCTAGAAAGGCTGTACTAAGTAACTCACTGCACCACGGGTTGCAGGGAGTTGGGGAGGGGAATGGGGACCGACTGCTTAACAGGTACAGGGTTTCCTTTGGGTGATGAAAATGTTCTGAAGCTGACCAGTGGTGATGGGGCACAACGCTGGGAACACAGCACCTGCCACTGAACTGTACGCTTTGAAGTGGTTAAAACGCTAAGTTCACGTTTGCTGCCAAAACGAAAATAAATAATGCGTGCCAAAAAAAAGTGCATGTAAAATAAAGCCAAGCAAGTAGAGGACAACACGATTAGGTGGAAATCACAGATCAAAAGAGGAAAATAGTTAGAGAACTATAAAATAACCATACTGAACAAAGGATTACGGTTGCAATGCTTGCACAGTTGTTTAAATAATAAAAAGTTTTAAATGAGTGCCTACTGAAGCACCAGAGGAGCAGGGTCAGAAGCTCAAGGGGGCCAGGGAGATAAGAATGGCACTGACACCCTGCCCTCCTGGTGGGCCAAGGACATCCCATCCCTCCACTCACCGGTGCCCAGGCACCCTCGTGAGGCTGCCCCTGGCTGGGGACGGGAGCAGGAGGGCAGGAGAAGGGCTTGCCGACCTTCATTCTCTTCAGCTCTCGCAGCTGCTGGTACTCCTGCAGGCTGGCCTGGAAGCGGTTGCTAAAGATGCCCGAGACAGGCTTTCGGGTGGATGAGAGCGGGATCTGATACCAGCGCGTGCCCCCTGTGCCCCTGGAGCCGGCCACTGGCCCGGCACTGGACGACCGCTGTTTCTCTGGAGGGTAGCTGACCTCCGCGTGTGGAGCGGAGCTGCTCCTCCTCAGGGGCTGGAGGCTGATGAATGCCTTCCCTGGGCTGGACTGGGCAGCGCTGAGGTCTGCTGCGGCCCAGGGACCGGCTGGTCCCTCACATGGGTGGGACATCTGGCTGGAAGCTGGGTGGTGAGGACTCAGGACTGTGGGTAGCCTGCTCAGAGAAGGGAGAGGTCCCCTCCGGGTTCCCAGCGGAGGGTCGGCCTGATGCTGGCAGGGACAAGCAAGGCCTTAAAACTTCTAAGTGACGAGTACCTAAGAGCATCTGCTGGGAGGCCAATGCCTGAGCTTGGGGCCATGCCAATAGGGAAGATCAGTGGATCAAGTCTGTACACCACCTGCGAGAAAAGCAGAGAACACACCGTGTTCATTCCATTCCCATCACTTCGGACTGTGCCCTTCTCCTGCTGCCTGGAGAGAAAGAGAACCTCTTCATTCAAGAGGCACAAAGCCACACCGAGAACCGGAGGGGCTTTTCCACATGCCAAGTATGCGGCAGGTGTGAGAACGGTCCCCAGAAATCCCAAAACCTCATTAGGGTCTCTCTGCGCTCTTCCTGTCTCCTGGCTCTTGACAACACAAAAGAGAAGAGGCTGGTGTCGACCAGATCCCAACTTCCTCCTTAGGGCAGGACGTTATTAAATTGTTGGCTGTCTTAGGGTCAGCAAGAACAGGGCTCCCACTGGAGCCTCCATTTAAGTACTGTGGCCCTTGGCAGAATGCCAGGAGGAAGACAAGAGAATTAAAGATGAAAAAGGAGGGAGAAGAGGCTCCTCATACAACTGAAGGGAAGCCTGCCTCGTAAGCCAGGGGAGACATTCAGGGAGGACTACGGAGGAAACCCTATACCAAGAAGCTGTTTCAACACTACTGTACAGGCTCAGCTGCCCCATGCACGTCCCACCTGATGACACCTGAGGGAACTGGATTTTACCCAGCCCGACTCTCCACGTGACTCCAGCTTCCCACCTTGATTTTCCATGTCCCCACACCAGCTCTACCCTTGATGGTCTTTCTAATCCAACTCAGACCCCGCTTTAACCTCCCCGAGAAAGCCCTTCCACCAGGACCTGGGGTATGAATACTCCCATAGTATTTTTTCACACTATCCCACCCCTCCCCATGTTAACCAGACTCTGAGTTCCTCCTGAGGGCAGGACATTTCCCTGATGCCCACTCTCCCCTACCCAGTTCCCTGAAGGAGGAATGGTTCTATCTACCTCAGGTGGTCTGAAGCCCATCAGCACACCCTGCCTCTCCAATGGAGACGTCCACCTGGTCAAACGCTCTGTGTTGGGACCCCCTCCTCCTTTTCATTTCTTATTCTGCACCTGGTTCCCTTCTTTCTCCTCAATGCTACAACTTCACCAACACTGCTGATCCCTTTCATACTCTCTGTCCTCAACTGTCTGTCCTCTACTGTGGCTGCAGCTCAGCTAGGCCACAAGAGCACAAGCATGTTCTTCCCCTGAGCTGCTATCCCCACCTCTCCACTTGCCACCTCTCCAGCCACTCTCTTTTGGGTACGTTCACCACCCACACCAGAGGGGGATCCTGGGTCATTCAGTCGGGCTCTGAGTGACAGTGAGTACACTGAAGGGGCCCCAGTGGAGTGTCCCCTTGCAGAGCACCCCCCCCACCTCCTATCTGTCCTCCAGGTCTCAGCTCACACTCTATTATGGACTGAACTGTGTCCCCCAAAAATATGTATTGTAAATCCTAACCCCTATACCTGTGGATATAATCCCATTTGGGAACAGGGTTTTCTTTGTTATATTAATGACATCATACCAGTGTAGAATGTGTCGTAAACCAGCCATTTTTGAGATATAAAAGGCTCCGATTAAGCCCAGAAGGAAGCCCAGATGGGAGAAGACAGATGCTGTGCCACATGAAGATCGCCAAGGAATCGAGGAACAGAAGCTGAAGAGAGACAAGGACCTTCTCCCAGAGCTGACAGAGAGAGAAAGCCTTTCCCTAGAGCCGGCGCCCTGAATTCAGACTTCTAGCTTCCGAAAGCGAGGAAATGAATTTCTGTTTATTAAAGCCATCCACTTGTGGTATTTCTGTTACAGCAGCACTAGGAGACTAGGACAGACCCCAACCCCCACCTCCTATCACACCCTGTACCAACGCCAAGTGAGCACTTCCCACACTGTGGTAAAGCATCTCTTTGCCTCTCTGTAACCCCCCCATTAGCTCCTAGAGGACAGAGCCCGTGCTGGCCCCTCACTGCTACCTGGCATGAAGGCGGTGCCTGACAAACACCAGCTGAATAAAGTGGACGCACTTCTTGATGAGCGTCCACTTCCACGCGTGTGGCAACATGAGGCTGTGATCCCCACCACTCAGGATATGACACCCCAACCTCTTGGCGTTTCCTGACCTGCTGAGGCTCCCAGGGACGCACCACCAGAAACACCACTATCCTAAGTCTCTGAGGACCTTTTTTCTTCTTTTAATTGTAAAATTCACGTAACATGAAAGTCACCATTATAACCATTTTAAAGTGTACGATTCAGTGGCATTGAGTACATCCAAAATGCTGTGCAACCGTTCCCAGTACTGAATCCCAGAACACTGTCATCACCACAGAAGGAGCTGCTTAGTCACTTCCTGTTATAGACTGAACTGTGTCCCCCCAAAATACGTGTTGTAAACCCTAACCTCTACGCCTATGGTTGTAATCCCATTTGGGAATGGGCTGTCTTTCTTATGTTAATGAGACAGGATTAGTGTAGGGTATGTCTTGAGTCAGTCTGTTTGGAGATATAGATGAGATTATGTAAACAAGCAAGGAAGCAAAGATGGGAAGAGAGGTGCTCTGCCACACGAACATCGCCCCGAAGCAGAAGCTCAAAACAGACAAGGACCTTCCTCCAGAGCCAACAGAGAGACAAAGCCTCCCGCTAGAGCCGGCGCCCTGAATTCGGACTTCTAGTCTGAACTGTGAGAGAATAAAATTCTGTTGGTTAAAGCCACTCACTTGTGGTTATTTCTGTTACAGCAGCACTAGATAACTAGGTAACGCTCCACTCCCCCTCACCCCAGCCCCTGGCACTCACTAATCTGCTCTCTGACTGACTACCTTTTCACCAACAAAGATGTCGCCTGCTACAACGGTCTGCACTGTCCCTGGCGCCTAACATAGTCATCAGCGGGGTGCCCTGACAACGATGTAAGGAACACTTCTGCAAGCAGAGACACCCTCGAGTGCCCTGCCCTCACGGGTCTTGCATGAAAATGCTTAAGAGAGCTCAGAATGGCCAATCATTCTCCCACAGGTTTGGAAAGCCAAAGCTCTGGTTCTAAGGGCTGTTTGGTGGTGGCATTTATTTAATTCAGGCCTCAGTTTGTACCAGCCAAGACCTGTAGTCCAAGCTATCACCACTGGAGATGTGAAGGACTGAAAAAGAAATCCAGAAACTTTTAAGGGGAAATTTCTCTTTCCTCTGAAAATTTTTTCTAGTTTTCCTGCTATGATGGTTAAGGTCGTGTGTCAACTTGGCTCGGCCATGATTCTCAGTGGTTTGGCAGTTATGATGCAGTTTGGCAGTTATGTAATGATGTAATCACCTTCATGATGAGATCTGATGTAATGTAATCTCTTCCATGATAACATCTGATATGAGCTGCCAATCAGTTGAAAGGAGTTTCCTTGGGGGTGTGGCCTGCATCCAATACTTTCTGGCAAAGCTTGCTGGCTTTTGCTCCGGTCTGGATCCTGCATTTGGTTATATCTTCATCTGAACTCTGGTACTTGGAACTTGAGCTAGCAGCCTGCCATCTTACCTGCTGATCTTGGGTTTATCAGCCCCTACAGCTATGTGAGTCAGGAGAAGCCTCCAGCCTGACACCTGACCCACAGACTTGGGACTTTCCAGCCTCTACAACCACGTGAGCCATTTCCTTGATATAAATCTCTCTCACTGGTTTTGCTTCTCTAGAGAACTCAGCCTAAGATACCTGTCTTAAAAAGCCAGTCTCTATCTCCACTCTCTTTTCCTTCCAATCCTTCTTGAAAATCACCTCCAATTCAACCTTCCTAGAGCATCAAGTCCAGTGTGTAACTTCCTCTGCTCAGAACTCACTGCCAGACAAAGGTGCACAAGGGAGCTTTATGAAGTGATAAAAAAATTCTGAATCTTGATTGCAGTTATCATTACTGAACTGGATAAATTTGTTAAAGCTCATCGAACTGCACACCTAGACAGATAAATTTTACCGTATGTAAAACGTACCTCAATAAACTTAACTCTAAAAAAAACACCAGTTTTCTCTGAACAAACATTGAGATCAACTTTTCGACAGTGGAAAACATATGAAATTATTATCTCCACATCAGAAATCATCTTGAGGAAAACACAAGATACTGATTATGTTAAACGAAACAAAAAAAATGCTCCTGGGATAATCAAAGCCATCTTTGCATATTAATAAGGGTCAACTGCTGGCCTTCCCAGTTTCTCCCTCCACCCTCTAGTGGAAGGACCCTGGCAAGTGCTAAGAAATCACTGAACTTCTGCTTGTAAAGGATGGGGTTCAGGCTTTGACAGGAGTCCCCCAATTATGTTTTCTCTCTCCCTGTAGGGTGATACCTGGGCCAGGGTATGTCTTCTACCTGGGAGGCACTTTTGGCCCTGGAGAAGCAGGAGGGTGGGGCCAGGGGAAAGAGAGCCAGAACGGAGACTTCAGGATGATCCAAGTGGAGGATATGGCGGTGCTCGGGGGGGGCAGTTTGTCCATCCAGGCCCCCAGGGCAGGAGAGCAGGTAGGATACCAGGGCAAAGCAGCATCAAGGTGTATTTGGCAGCAGCCCTGAGCACCATGGGAGGTTGAGGTTGGTACTGTAGGCCTTCCTTATGGAGTGAATTGTGTCCCCTCAAAATATGTGCTGGAATCCTAACCCTTATAATACCTGTGCATGTGGTCCCGTTTGGCAATAGGGTTTTCTTTGTTATGTTAATGGGGCCATATTAGTGTACAGTGTCCTAAACATAATCACTTCTGAGTTATAAAAGAGTAGATGAGACACTAAAGCAAGCACAAATCGGAGGCGGGGGGGCAGATGTCACACGGGCACTGTCAAGGAACAAAGGAACACTGAGCTACAGAAGCTGAGATAAGGACCTTCCCTTCCCCCAAAACCAACAGAAGGAGAGCCTTCCTCCAGAGCCCATGCCCTGACTTCAGACCTCTAGCCTCCTGAACTGGGAGAAAATAAACTTCTGCTCTTTAAAGCCATCTGCCTGTGGCATTTGTTACAGCAGCACTAGGACACTGAGACAGCCTCTGAAAACATGGGAGAATCCTTTGTGTGTGTCAGCAGGGTGATGCTGAAAGCTCAAGGTCCTTCTGATGTTCTTGGTTCAGACATCTTGCTGTCGATATGCCCATGACATGGTTATAAA